TGGCGTACACAGGGCGATCGGCCTCAAACACTTTGGCGATTGCCATGCCGCGTTGCCGGACCGCGCCTAGGCGGCTGGGCCCAGTCGGAGCCGGCGAGCCGCCCACGGCGCGATCCATCTCACGCTGGTAGGCTTCTGACAAGCGTCTCATGCTTGCCAGCTTCTTTGCGCCCTCGACGAGCTGAAGGCGGCGCGCCTCCAGCGTCTCGGCGTCAGCGTCTCCCAGAATCGGTGCGGACAGGTCTCGCAGAGCCGCGTCGAGCGGGTCGTGAGCTCCCTCGCCGGAACGCTCGCCGTGATCGAGGACGAGGACCTCCATGACCGTGCTTCTGCCGCTCTCCGCGCAAGGGAGCGGTTCATCGTAGACCACCACGTTGGTGGGGAACGCGTCAAGCGACGCGGTGTCGGAGTCGACCAGCATCAGGTCGGTGGATCCTATGGACTCCAGGTCCATGGCAGGCTCGCCGGCGACGTGGAGTTGGTCGAGGAGGCCCGTGAGGAGGCTCTCTGGGCCGCCCGTGCCTGCGTCGGATGCAGGCTCGTCGGAGAGGCGAACCTCGCCGATAAGTTCGGCGAGGCAGCTGGCTGCGTAGGCGATCTCAGCGCCGTGCAGCGCGTCGGCGCAGACTCCGTCTGGCGTGCCGGGCTGGCTGTGCTCGCCAGGGAGGAATAGGGTTCCCGTCCAGAGCAGGTCTCCGGACGACGGTGCACCTCGCCCCACGGTGGGCGCCAAATGTCGGGGGTTGGGTACGACATATGCCAACGAATGGCTTATCATGGTGGGAGCGAGTAGAATGTCGCCGGTGCCCGGAAGCGGGATGAGGCGAAGACATGCACGCCGGCGGATCTTACCCAGCTTCAGGGCTCTCCGAGGAGATAACACCCCTACTGCTGCTCTGCGGGGTCTCCGCATGATCACTATGGCAAAGTGAATACAAGGTTGCTCCTAGAGCTGTTTTCTGGAGGTAGGAGAGGGCAAGGCTAGCTCCCTCCTTCCTATATGATCGGGTCTAATCCTAGAGAAGCTATCCCCCTTGCATGGGTGCCCCGGGGGGCTTATATAGGCCTGCCCCCCCCAGGGATACAATGGTAATCCGGCTGGGCGCGGGTCCCAGCCGTCTGTCTCTCAGGCCGCCGTCTTCTCCGCCGACTACTGGGGCCCGCCGACCGGCGGACCCCGTGGACAGGCCTGGTACTGTAGCGGTGCTTCTGATGACGCTGGCTTGGTCATGGGGTCATGGCAACAGTGCCGCCGTCTGGCGGGCGATCACTATCGCCATTCCCCGTCTTGTCTGGTTAATGGCGTGCGGGGCCCGTGGGAGGGGCCGACCGACTCCAGGGGGCCGACTCCCACGGGGCCGTCTTCGTGGCGCTCTCGCCGCCTTCGGTACTCCCGCTGAAGGACGGGTCCCGCCGTCTCTGGGCCGTACAGGTAGGCCGTTGTGGGCACAGTGCGCCGCCCACGGGGGCTGAGGTCAGGGCAGGCATGGCAACAGTGCCGCGCCACGATGGAGATCTCTAGCAATACGACGCACTGTAGCCATGCCAGCCCCTCGTAAGCGGGGTAGAGACGGCCATGTTGCGACCGTACTCCGCCCCGTCCATCGTGGCAAAGGAAGGAGGTGGTTGGAGTCGCGGGCCGACTCCCACAGCCGGCTTCTCTGGAAGTCGTCAGCTAAGAGTCGGCTTATCTGGAAGCCGGCACCTGAGAGTCGGCTTATCTTGAAGCCGTCCCCGGGACTCGGCCGTGATGGACAGTTGATGTCGACTCCCAGGAGGCGGCTCTTCATCGTGGGGGCTTGAGGGGCGCAGTCTGCCCCGATGCTTTGAAATGTTCTGGATTACTCCGACACAACCTAAAAATAACCCCCAAAACCCGTAAAGCAGTCACTTTTTCTTTAAAAAACAGAAAAACATCGCCTTTTGGTCCCGGTTGGTGCCACCAACCGGGACCAAAGGCCCCGCTGCCTGGGCTCAGCGCACCGGCCAAGTGGAGGACCATCTGTCCCGGTTCGTGTTAGAACCGGGACTAAAGGGGGGAGGCATTAGTAACGACCCTTTAGTCCCGGTTTAAGAACCGGGACTAAAGACCCTTACGAACCGGGACAAATGCCCTGTTTTCTACTAGTGCTAACTTGTGTCATTCACTCCCATATATTGTGATATTGCTTCAAGTAAGTTTGTGTAACTTACTTGTGCTTGGTAGTATCCTTGTTGTCCTCATTATATTGTGTTGGTTACCATATCGTAGAGATTATTTAGGCCAACACTCTCTAGTCCGCAATTCATACTTGCTACTACTGTTATATTTTGTGCTTAGTGTGAATTACTATCTTGTATATTTCATTTTTATATCGTGTGATATCTTGAGTAAGTTTGTGTAACTTACCTGTGCTTACGAGTATCCTTGTTGTGCTCATCTTATTTAGAATAAGTTGTTGGTGCACTTAGTTGAGCCTAGTATATTTAGGATTTGTGCTTGAAAAATATCCGCTTAGTTTATTTCCGCATCAGGATATAGCCAAATCCGTAAAAGTTTTTAAAACGCCTATTCACACCCCCCCCTCTAGGCGACATCGTGGTCCTTCCAATACCCCTGGGAGCCGTTTACTGCAACGTCTTTCACAAGAGTATTGTTAGTTTAGATTAAAGGAAAACAATTTAAATTGCTAGGGCAATTGTGCAGTCTCTTCGGCTGCCTCGGTCTTATGTCACGTGCCTCTTGTGCTCGACTCCATCTTCTACTCATCTATACGGAGGGCACCTATCCACTCGTTATCCCAAGCGTGTCCCCATCCCTTTCCTTTCCCCTTTTGCCTACTTTTGGATCATAGTCATCGCTTCTCCCTCCTTTACCAAAGATGACACGGTTGTAGTTCCTTGAGCACTAGTTCGCAACTCGGCTGTGCCCCTAAGCAAATGTAAGCGAAGAGAAACACATCCCCACGACTCCGAGTGAAATCTACAAGAGTGGGAACAAAAACTATGCGAGCAAGGAGTTGTTGCGAGCTAAAGGCAGCCAATAGCGGCACAACTACAAACCCATTATTGTTGTTATGAGTTGGGACACACTACTACAAAGGATGGTGGTCGCTGCTGCAAAGAAGACGGGAGGCGATGCAAGGCTAGGCAACTGCGGCCGACGATGGTGCAACTGTAGTCGATGATGCTACGACTGTTGCCAGGTCAGACAATGGCTGCTGCAAGGAGCCCCACTGATGTCGGGATCCGCCCGGCATCTACCGCGTCCGCGTGCAATGTTGCAAAGGGGTTGCGCTGTGCGGCGAGCCGACGGGCAGTGATGTCACATCCTAAGTCGACACCAGGGAAGAGAGATGACCATGCAACGTCACAAGGGGGTGGTGAGAGGATGGGGTTGACCATGCACTGCTGATCCAACTACTAATAGCGGCACAATCGAATGATGTGCAAGGCAACTCCGTTCATCCTATCGCCGAGCCGACGCGCAGTGTTGCCCTAGATTTAAAGTATGTCACTATGTTAAAAATTATCAGCCTTTTATTTTGAGAGAGAGAAGAAAAAGAGCCTTAGCACCGAAGGTAGTACTAGGGAATGACAACGGGTAGAGTACATTTAATTTACCCATCTGTAAAGGAAGTGTGATCGAGTCAGCAGCGTACCACATTAACCACCCGAAGGCCCACGGATCCATCGAAAGCTTCGTTTCCGGCTTTCCTCTGGCGCGTGCCGCTTCGGCGTCTCCGAACCAGACCAGGTCTCCGCC